TAATTGAATAAATTTAATTTATAAACATATAAAATACCCTAAAAATATTATTTATTTAAAAAATGATTGTTCATAAACATAAATAAGTCTCACATCAATTACATGAGGGTAGATCTCATGTTCATATATATTTTAGTTTTAACAAAAATGTAGAGACAAATTTCATAGGTCCAAAAAGTACATCTTTCTTTTTTCCTTAATTTTTTTAAAAGGGGGAGTATTACTATTTTTGGGTTAAAGATAAAATCTTATTAAATTATTTGCTCAAGTCTTTGAATATAATCTTAAAGATTTAGCTCTCTATCAAAAACGAAAAGAATAACAATTGTTTACTAGAAGTATAAATCAAACAATCAAATTACAATAATAAGACATATTCCAGTCTCATGACATTTAGCTGAAAAAATAATTATTGATTTTTTATATAAAGGATGAGTTAGAACTCAATTTTTGAATAAATTAAAATGTTCATATATAAATAAAGATATTCTATATCATTAAAAAATAAAGCAATATGAATGTTGAAATGAATCCTCTATAGCATATTTTACCTCTATTACTATCCATTCTAAATCTACACAAAGCCTGAACTCTATTTTGGAAAAATTCATAAGATACTTTTATCGATTTTGCAGAATATAACTTTAAGTTAGAGTAATACAAATTCATTATTAAAAATAAAAAAGAAAATGCAGGGCTCTTTTTAATCGAAGGAAGCTCTAACTGACATCTTTGGATAAATAAAAGATGTAGACATATAAATCTATGGGTTCATATTAGAAATATTAAAAAAGGATAAAGCGTAAGACTGCATTTAATTTCTATCAGACATTAGGAATCAAAGACAGTTAGAATCATAAATCTTACAACGAGTAGAGAATATCACCCAAGTTGATTAATAATAGAAATTGTCTGTTATTGGAAAAGAGATGAAATAAATTATAGATGTCTTAAAAAAGTTAAAAGATCATGACTTCAATTTCAAAGACTTTTCCTCTGAAGAAAATGTAGAATCTACATTAAGTCTAATTAATATCATAAAGGATGATAGATAGATTTTAGAATTTCTGTAATTTTTAGTTCACCTTACATCCATAGATGACACTTTAATATAGTGTGGGTCAAATTCATTAAATATATTAGTTTAGATGAAGGTAGACCTTAGAAACAAAAATTTTGAAAATATTAAGATCTAAAATACTTCTTTAGTAGGAGCAAATTTTGTTAGATGTAATTTAAGTGGATCTGAATTTAGTAAAGTGGATATTAATGGGTTGAATTTGAATGGAGCTTTCTTATTTAATTGTTAATGGAAAAACATAAGGGTAAATGAATTAAATGAGTTGAAAGGTCATTCAAGTTCAATCAATTCAATCTGTTTCTCTCCTGATGGTATTACATTAGCATCTGGTAGTGGTGAACGTCGTGGAAATGGGGATTGTTCAATCCGTTTATGGGATATAAAATCAGGATAATAAAAATCAAAATTAGATGGTCATACTAGCTGGGTCCAATCAGTTTGTTTCTCTTCTGATGGAAATACACTAGCATCTTGTAGTGATGATAACTCTATCTGTTTATGGGATATAAAGACAAGAAAAAAAAGATTTAAATTTGATAGTTATAGTGGATATATTCGACCAGGCTGTTTCTCTCCTGATGGAACTACATTAGCATCTGGTAGTAATGGTAATTCTATCTTATTATGGGATATTAAAACAGGTTAATAAAAAGCCAAATTAGATGGTCATACTAGCTGGGTCCAATCACTTTGTTTCTCTTCTGATGGAACTATATTGGCATCTAGTAGTAGCGATAAGACTATCAGTTTATGGGATATAAAAACAGGATAATAAAAAGCAAAATTGGAATCTAATATGTGAGTTGAAATGCAAGAATCACAAGATATTACTGTACTATAGTTTATACAAGGTGATTAACAATCTAAACAAAAATATGTTGAAGTATCTAAATATTTTGTTGGTAATTAACAATCACAAGTTGGTATTGATTAATTACTTGAATCAATACAATTTGTACAATTGTCTTCACTATCCTAACAAGTTAAACAAGCTCCAAAACATTTTGAACAAGTAGTTGATCCTGATTTTATATAATACCCACTTGCACATTCACTACAAATAGTTTCTGAAGTGCATTTAGTACAAAAAGATGAACAAGGTTTGCATACGTTTTCATCTGAACAAAAACTCATAAAACAGCTTTGTTCTTTTGTGTAGTAGTATCCATCAAAACATTTCTAACAACTTGATGAATTAGAACATGTTTCACAATTGTCAAAGCAGTCTTGACATCCGCCCATCATTCCAGATTAGTAGTATTAATATAATCCGCATGATGAATTAGCTATTTCATACATACTATAAATTACCTACTAAATGAAAGGAAGAGTAAACAATAAGATATTGGAGAATATTCTTTGTTAACATTTTGTGTATAATTAAAATTTTAAAAATCTTTCTAACAACATTTTAAAATTGTCACTGTGATATATATAGATTTTAATAATAATTTTTTAAAATATATGAGATGTCTTCTTTTATCATAAAACAATGATTATAGGGTAAAAATAAACTCAAAGAAAACAATATTTCAAACTTTTCATATAATAAGAATGATAAAGAAGAATATTGTAAGAATATAAAAAACAATTTTTAGCTATAAAGGATAGCTTAATTTATCTAAATTAGTCAAATTTCTTAATTCTTCGCCCTTTAATTTGGGATCTAAGATATTTCTTCAAAAAAAATATCTATTTTAAATTAGTAAGTTTATAAAAATGAATTGTCATTTGATCATAAGTTCTAGCGTTTAAGAATGAAAACTAAGTAATGTAAGTGAACTATTTGGAATTGTTGTAATCACCTATCTAAATTTTGATAATATCTCCTTATTACTTAATTGTAAGTTAACTTCAAGCACCTGAAGATCAAATATACCCATAATAGTATTAGCAGATAAGAAAATTGAAGATTATATTTAATAAATTTGAAGGGAGGGAATTTTTGATTTTTTTTAATAATTGCCCCTAATTAAGAGGTTTTAATGAATATTTTGTTGAAAAAAATTGAGATTGAAAAGATCGTTACTTTTTAAATTACTAAGACTTACAATTGGCTTAATGAATCACTTGCTAAAAGTCAATTAATAAATATACCAGCTCAATAAATATTTTATGATATGAAAAAACTAAAACTGATTAAATGTAAGATGTTAACTCACTCCCGCCGATAGTAATGATGAAGGATTTCAAAAATTTGATAGATATCAAAATTTATAAACAAATTGAATTTCATCTCACAACAACATAATAAATAACATTAAAATGTTTATAAAAAATTTAGAATTTTATATTAAATAAAGATATTCTATATCATTAAAAAATAAAGCAATATGAATGTTGAAATGAATCCTCTATAGCATATTTTACCTCTATTACTATCCATTCTAAATCTACACAAAGCCTGAACTCTATTTTGGAAAAATTCATAAGATACTTTTATCGATTTTGCAGAATATAACTTTAAGTTAGAGTAATACAAATTCATTATTAAAAATAAAAAAGAAAATGCAGGGCTCTTTTTAATCGAAGGAAGCTCTAACTGACATCTTTGGATAAATAAAAGATGTAGACATATAAATCTATGGGTTCATATTAGAAATATTAAAAAAGGATAAAGCGTAAGACTGCATTTAATTTCTATCAGACATTAGGAATCAAAGACAGTTAGAATCATAAATCTTACAACGAGTAGAGAATATCACCCAAGTTGATTAATAATAGAAATTGTCTGTTATTGGAAAAGAGATGAAATAAATTATAGATGTCTTAAAAAAGTTAAAAGATCATGACTTCAATTTCAAAGACTTTTCCTCTGAAGAAAATGTAGAATCTACATTAAGTCTAATTAATATCATAAAGGATGATAGATAGATTTTAGAATTTCTGTAATTTTTAGTTCACCTTACATCCATAGATGACACTTTAATATAGTGTGGGTCAAATTCATTAAAT